GATGAGTTTGTATTATTAATGCAGTCAAAGCGAAATTGAAAAACTCAATTAAAGGCTTATGTGTGATAAGTTCTGCATAATTAAAGGCGAGTCTCAGTACCACACTATGACACTGATTGGCCTTTCTTCCCTCTACAAACCCTCCCCCCCCTCCATCCACATTTCCGACACTCTGTCCACTCCACCAGCTCTCTCCAAGCCCATTTCCCTCATCGCCTTCACAGGGCCGTGCGTGATTGATGGGCCCGGCGACTCCCTCGTGCTGCTGTGTACCTAATCTCAAAGTATAGACTCGCCGTAACGCTCCATTAAGAGCCTGCTGCAGCAAAGGTGTAGTGGTTAGGGAAATGGGCCGTGGAAGGGAAGGTCACCGGTTCAAATTCCCAACGGGGTTCGTCGCTGCCTTGTCTCAGCTACGTGTCCAATTTGGGGGAAAAAATGAATTGTGACAGCTTTGCGGGGTGATACATGAGCGCAAATGCCAATGTGCTCTTCAGTGTACAAACATTGTTATAATGAGTAAACGCACATGCGACCTTCTGCCTTGCCACAGCGCCATGACGGAGGCAAAGTCAAATCTGCTATTGACACAATCTGGTAATGAGCTTGTCAGTCATCACGCTAGAGTCTGTTTACTTCCAGGATGAGGAACTGTGGGAGGTTGAGAGTGTCATTGACAGGTTTGCCGGGCTTGAATAATTACGTTCTCTGGACGGCAACAACCGTCAAAGAAATACTAGCAATAGCTTCCTGTCTCGAGAGGGCGAGCTCCAGAGATAGGCACATAACCACACAAGTCACTTTAGGGGCAAACAAATTGGATTGCTTGTTGGCCCTGTGACTGATGAGTTAATTAAAGTGGAAGGGTATGGAGAAAGAAGTCGGACACCGCTCCATTTATTTATCCCATATTGACGTTATCTCCTCGCACTTCACTGGCTTGAGTAATCGCCGCCTTTCTGCTCAAGAAAACAACTAAGGGGGAGGCAATGGACGTTGTCAAAATTCCAATTCAGATTGAAGATCACAAGGAGCGCTGATCAGGGCGGGATTTGTGTACAGGATTTAGATGAACTTGATTAAGCTGAAAGTAAGTCAGGGGTATTATGACTTCTGACTGTTAATGTAAAAATGTGATGTAAAAAAACAGCAAGTAATAACGCACGACAAGAAGCCATAAATGAAATGAATCGTTGGTAGGTTTTCCCCCTCTCTCTAATTTGAGAATCCTCTGAATGACTCATGATTTTCTTACTAATTTGCAGGAAAATGTTACGCAACCGTACCACAAAGAAATAAACAGAACATTTAGTGTCCACAGACTTGAAACTGGATTTCACACCTTTGTTTGGATCAGACTTTGTGCCCACCCACCCCAAAAAAGTCCTGTCAATACAAGCCAGTGATAGCAGTAACCAGCCAATAGTGAGTGCAGGGGCCTGGAAGACATACAGACAACAACCATTTTTCTTTTCCTCCAGGGACTGAGTGTGACGGCCTTAATGGAGCGCTCTGGCCTCATGTTCTGTGCTAAGGTAAGGATGAACGGTAATACGAGCCCAGGTTTGTGACAGGTGCTGGATGGGAGAGTGGGGGGGTTGGCTAAGAACACCGCGAAATGTGGCGAGGCCATGCTGGCGAGCGTGCCGAGACGGATTGGGGCTTAGTTTGGGAGTGGGATGCATATAGTGGGTGTTGTGCTGAGGAACCAGGTGGTGCCTGAGGAGAGTACTTTTTTGTCTCAACCAGCCACAGCTTACGTGCCTGGAAGAGAGGAACACAGTGAACCCGGAGCCGAGAACAATTAGACACCGGCCAACCCCGGCTGGATTTGCATTAGCAATACTAACAGCAGAAATAGACAGGAGAATCACTCATATGATATTGAATTATTTGTGTTTTTCAGTCACTTTCTTTTAGTTTTTCTTTTGTTTTGCACTTCTTTCAGAGGCTTTTCTCCTGCAACGTGATTCTGGAGACAATTTGGGGACGAGACTCCAAGAAGGACTTTAAGGCTGGGATTTAAAATAGCCCAGGTCATAGCAGGATTTAAAGTTATATGCAGGGTTGAGAGCTAGTGTGGAGGAAATATGAAATGTGTGAGCATGTGAGCTGAGTTTTTCCACATCTCTTTCACTCACTTCCTCTTTCTCTCTCTCACACACACACACACACACACACACACACACCCCCACACACACACACACACACACACACACACACACACACTTTTAACATATCTGATAACCAAATCCAGATAATGTAATGGAGGAGTCAGGTGTTGCTGATTCGTTGCCGGTGTGAGCCAGTTGTAAGAAACTCAGCTGGATCAAATGATGAATTGTTTCCTGAGACTAACCCCCCCCACCTGACCTCCTGAGTCCAAGCAGACCATTCTAACTGAAAATTGGAAGAATTAGAGCTCAACAAATCCTTCCTGTTGAGCGATTGCTCCTCATTCATCCAGAGTCAAATATTGACCGAGCATAAATGACAGCAGGGCTCAAAGAAACTTCTACGAGAGGCCTTGGTGGGAGATTGGCCAGTGTTGATATTATGTTAAATATGTCTATGTATTGTATTTCTGAGATATCTACTACAATTAGCATGCTAACCAGCTAGCTCAAGCCGGTCCTGTCTTGCAATTCCACTTGTACCTCGAGAAGCGATAGTGAGTCACTGTAGCATCCAGTCCGGACTCAGTCCAACATGAGAGGACGGGGCCCTTGTACATTTAGATATTTTGTTCATTGGATTGAATCCAAAGTGGAAATAAGAGAACGACTTATTTTAGCTTTGTCCCACCAGGAGACGACTGCACCAAGAGGAGGGTCTTTCAGTTAGCGGTTAGCTGTAGCAACTAGCATTCAGCCAGCGCAGAATCAAGCGACAGGGGGCCACACGCTGGTGGAGCGCTTGGTCTAACCTGTGTAACGGCTGGAACAGAAAGTTTGCTGATCTAGTTGGGAGTCTGGGCAATTCCCCCCCCCGGGATCAGACCCCCGGTGCTGGGGTTTGTTTTGGCTGAATTTGTGTCACTACAGCTCTTTGGAAACTAAAGGTCTGTCTCAAAGGCCACCTCCTTCCCTTTGTGTAGCACAACAAGCAATGAAATAGAGTGGACTTTGAAGATGTTGTGCACAATGCTGGTCCACCTGCCAGTCCTTTGACATAGTGATCCGCCCAAGATCTCTGGCCAGAAATCAGGGCAACAGAGGATGATAATCTGTGACAGGGGAGCAATTGTTCACATAATATGAAGATATTTCAAGGTGTCCACTGTGTCCTGTCACTAACCTACAAAGAGGAGAAACAAACTTACCATTCTGGTGGCTTCACCCTCTAATAAAGGACTAGAACAGTTTTTAGGAAACCACAGTTAACAACTGAATAATAATCAGACCCAATCTAAGGCCATATACTGACAGTTTTGATCTATCATTTTATCATCTAATATCATCATTATTATCCTTATTCAGTTTGCGACTGCTGGCTGCTGTTCAATGTCAAAGTGGGATTTTATAATTCATTCAGCATGTTCCCAGTAATGCAGACGCAATACGGCACAGTACAATGTCTGAGTAACTCAACATCACAGTGCAGCCTGTGGAGCTTCTCTACAAGTACAGTCATGAGGTCCTTGTTCTTTACTCCAGTACTTCCATGTTATGCTACTTTATACAACTGCTAATTAGTATGTAAAGTGCTTTGGTACTTTAATAACATTCTTACAATAATTGTTAATAACCTTGATTTGAAACTCCTCAAAATTCCATTCAAATTGATATTAAACTGTTGAAATAAAGCAACGGTTTGCATTTTTGAAGCTGTAACCAGCAAACGGTGGGATTGTCACTTGATAAGATACTTGTTTTTTTGTCACATCTAACTACTTTATAACCTGTTGATGTTAATAGTTAAAGTACTTTTACTTTCATATTTGAAATACAGGAATTCTACTTTAACATTAATATACTGTGGTTTTGCTATTTTTGCGTAGATAAAAGATGTACTTCCATCACTGATTATTGCAAATCTAGTTTTCAGTGGTTTGTGTAAGCTACTCTTTATCAATGTAGGGATCTCGTTTGAGTGCTGCTGCCAAATTTTAAGATTTAATTCAGTGTGCTACGGGAGGAGCATTTCTCTTGGTCATCCTTTACTTTTGAATTCCGTTTTATGTGAGCTCAGTAGACTGTAACATGGTCTGGTAAACAAAACGGATAACTTTTCTTACAGAAGCCTGAAATGAAGCTTCAGACGATACATTCACTGTGAAAAACATGCCCCTATCTACATACAGGCATGTTAAAACAGCACCTGTTTGGTATGACATTGTTACACGTCTTTGCCTCCTAAACATCTGTCTGTCGAAAGTTACTGAAAGTCTGTTATCCATATTTCCTCGGTAACGCACACTTGAGATGTTTAAGTGAGGGTTGCTGTGCTTCGGCATCGAGCTCGGAGGAAATTGAATCAGCCGTATTAATCAAATTTCAGGAGCTTTCGAGGTTAACAGAGAGGGATATTATTTCAGTCTAGCAGTCTAGCATTTCATTGCTCAACATGGTGTAATGAAGTTAAAAAAAATCACAGAATGTAGCTGTGCAATTTTCAAATTGACGTGTTTCAGCTGCTCTGGGAACTTGGCCACTTGGCAGACATGCGAGACAGATTTAGTCCGCAAACATATTGCAGAAAATGGGACAGGAAAAAACTCCCAAAAAACAACTGGAAAACAAAGAAGGATCCCAAGAGTTATCACCTAATACATTTATTAACTAATATTATCAGAGATGGTTTCATCGATTAACTGTTTGATTGTTTAGTCTTTGAAATGGCAAAAGTGACAATAAGTAGTCCATGAAAACTAAACTTTGGCTTATAAGTTGATAAAACACATTCCACAACATAATCAATAGTTCTTACACATAAAAGTACTAATAAAACAGAGCAGCACCATCATTCCTGAACGCAACGACACGGCTGTGCCAACTTACCCATGGTGCAGTTGGTGGTGAAGTGGGGCTCGATGGTGGCCATGTCATCCAGCGGAATCCGCTGATCGTAGCTGGCTGAGACCCGGAAGGGCGATCCTCCGTGGGTCCCCAGGGTGAGGTGGACCACCGCCCAGCTGCCAAGGAGAGAAAGCAGGAGGAGGATCAGTGTGGGGAGCAGACACCACGGCTGACAGAAACACCTGCATGCGCTGCGGGGGTCGGGGGTTAGGGTGGCCTGGGCCGTCCGGGCCTGCACCGCCTGAGCGCCCAAAGCCTCAGAGGAGGGACTGTCCAGGGCTTCGGCGGAAGCCATCATGGGGGCTTCCACATTCCCTTCCATTTGGGGAAGTTCACCTTCTTCCGTTGTCTGTTGCATGCCCCCCACCCTTTGAGCCCACCCCAGACTCCCTGGGTCTAGCAGAGGTGGTCAGGAGCGAGGTGGTGCCTCGCTTGAGAGCTTTTGGCTGGTGCGGAGTGGGGCTGCAATTCGAAGCCTCTGCTGCAGCAGGTGTGCGGTCGCGAGACACACTCGGGTCAAGTTATTGTGTGTTCGTGAGCCGCAGTCCTGCGCTGAATGCTGTCCTCCCTCAACCAGCGGCTGGCTTCATGTAGGTTAACTGTCCCTAATTTCATTATGCAAATTGTGCTGTTTTCTCTCTCTCACTCTCTGTCTCTCTCTCTCTCTCCTCCCCCAGTCTCTTGCCCATCCCTTCATTTTTACACTGACTCCACATTTAGCAAACAAATGACTTCCCTAATGACATTTCTCACTGCCGTACACACGAGGCAACAATGATTAAAGTACACAAAGAGATGCAAGTGCCACCGCAGTAGCTCATGCATTGTTGCACATTGTAACAGAACTTTGTTTGGCCATTTGAGATCTGCCATCCATGCTATCATGCTGTTGCACCACTGTTTTCATTGATAACGTGCAGTTTAAACAGACATGTCACATCAACATCAACATCTTTTTAGGTACAGTACATCACAACACAACACTATACTATTAATTAATTAATTGGTGGATTAATAAATACTAAGTAAAAATAGCCTAACATATTTTTAGCCAATAATGTGCAGGAAGATAACAAAAAAAACCTGAATGAGTTGAAAAAAATGTGTAAAAGAATTCGCTCAGAGAAATAATAGCACACTGATGGCCAGCAGGGGACGATGACTGGTTGCAAAAATAATATTTATGAGAAAATGACCCTACTTCTCACTTGATTTTATTACCGCCGTAAACATTGTGAACATGAGTTTATGGTCTCTATCTGTAGCTTAAAGTCTTCTTCAATACATGATGTCAATTGAGTGAATCATGTCGCTACCATGGTGATGGAGGAGACACTGCGTATTTGCATTCCATATCTAAAAGAGTTTCCTTCCTTCCCCAGATGCAAACATTTTATAATCTGGTAGAAGATAAATACTATTATTAAGATCACCAAATTGGAACAATGTCACTAATTTGTAAAGGTTTTAACCACCCACAGACAGGTGATGTCATTAATCTCACAGATCTCAGCAGGTCTCTGCTTTTCAATTACGACAAGTCCGCTGGGAACTGTCTGCGCCGTGTCTATTTCGGGGTTTATGCTGTGCTTTGTTTGGGTAGAATTGTGTTAGTAAGTACAGCAAACATAAATTCACACACACACACACACACATACAAGGACCCACTATACAAACGCGCTCTGAGCTTTTTCTGATTTCCCCAATGTCTGTGCTCGAGCTTTGCATTACTACCTCTGGCAGCTACCCTTCTCATGTGTTTGCGCTTTGTTTAATGTTGTGTTGGCTTTCCTCTCTCCGCCCCTCCTTTCACTGCTCTCACCCAGACACTGCTCAGAGTGGAGGGAGGTGTTGACCAGATGGGAAGTGATGTTAAAGCACCAGGGTATACGGAGTGGGACCTGCTCCCCTGCCATATCCCATAATAGAAAGGAAATGAAGCCCCAGATAAGGGCTGCCACTGTCTCTTTGATAACCTTGAAATGATTTGCTGAGCCACATACATATGGTCCTCCTCAGTTCACCATGGTTTCAGCTGAGGGGCCCACATTTAGAAAGGGCCTCACTGCTGAATGAGCACTGAGCATGGTGATGATGGAATTGTATATTGCACAGGAATGCTTGTCTCCTTGTGCATATGCGATGCAAGCAAATACACTGCAACGCAATTTATTCTTTAAGGTCCCATAATGTAGAAAGTGAAGCAGGTCTAGGTGCTATATAAATACTGTGAAAGTATAAAAGCTCAATCCACATGGAAATGCATACGGCCCCGTATTCACAAACTGTGCCTTTAAAAGAACGTTGTGATGTCACAGCTTTTCACTCACCAGGGTCGTGACACACCCAGATGCGGAAGACCGGAAATGACGACCAATAAGGGCCGATTGGGCTTTTTTTCGGAAAGGGGGTCTTAAAGAGACAGGTGCTAAAACGGAGCGTTTCAGACAGAGCTGTATTCAGACGGACCATTTTAGAAAAATAACGTGTGGGTTTTTTTTTACATTAAAGCATGTAAACATGTTTTAATAGAAACCCTAAATACAAATATGAACCTGAAAATGAACATGATACGTACCCTTTAAAGCTAGATAAATATGGAAGAAAGGGCTCCATATATGAATATGAAACCTCAGGGCTTGGGCAAAGACTTTAAACAAAGTGTAAACAAAGGAAGTCGGGCTTGACATTGAATCCGCTTAATGTTCTGATAATGAAATGGACAGAGGGGTATGGCATCCAATCTAAAATGATCAACGTAAAGCTGAGAGCTCTCTTTCTCTCTCTATCTACCGTCAAACTGAACACAAGTCTCCTGGACCACTGAATTATTGTCATGTCTCATCACGCTATGTCTGCGCTGGCACTCACAGGACTGATTAACTGAGCAGAGCTGCCAGAGCACATCACTCAAACATTTAAACCTAATTAGTGGTATACCATGCAAGGCACAAGGCTCCTTAATATAAATAAATAAAATGAAAATGAATGATAAAGACTCTTCATGCGGGAGTTAGATATTCATGACTAATCCGACTGCGGATGCTAATAATTCTCGTTGTGTCCTAATGGGCTGTTGGTTATTTAAAATCACCTGACCTTTGTTCTGACTGCTGTTTGGTGAAATTATCTCCCATGATTGGAATGTTTTTTTGTTTTTTTTTTCCCTCACAAAAACAAAACAGCTCAAGCCAACTAATCTTTGCTGCCAACTGACGATTCTCCTTTCATAATGCTATTCATATGCTCCCTTACTGCTCTGCTCTGGCTAATGTAGCACTTTTAATTTTCATTTGGTGTGTGTGTGTGTGTGTGTTTGTTAGTGAGGATGTAGGATGCTTGTATCCTAACCACATTAGGGCTTATTTGTCTTGTGGGATCTGGTTTGCATTAGCTTTGAGTCTCATCCATCAGGACAAACAATGCATGAAGAAGTGTGTTGTGTATTATCTTTTTCTCAAAAATCGTTTTCCCTAACGGTGTGAGGCCTGTGTGGACACATGGTCAGAGTGAAGCTAGTACCAGACAGGAAGACTAGCGTTAACATTGCCTTACGGGCGTGTTTATGCGTGTTCGGTCCTCAAAACAGACACCATCTTGCAAGCTTTCTATTCCTCACATTCTCAGGTTGGCATTAAGAATTGAGTAAGGAATAAGGTTTTGTTTGGGGTTAAGGGAGGAACAGAATTTATTTAAGGTCCTCATAAGTGTAGATCTAAAATGATGTGTGTGTGTGTGTGTGTGTGTGTAAGACAAGCTGTCAAAAAAAAGTGTAAGTGTCTTCACTGTGTGTCCGTTGGCTGTGCTTCAGTGATTTCAATCACATGTTGTGGTTGGTTAGTTTTTTATCACTGTTCACAAGTCCGGAAACAATTACAGATGCAAAAGAAAATGTAAAAATAAGATTTAAGTTGAGTTCAACCTTAAGGGGGCGCTGTCGCACATAAAGCTCACTATGGAGTGGAATGGAGCCAATCCTGCAGTCAGCAGCAGTTGGCCAAAGGTTACAGCCATTTTGGTTGTGCTTTGCTGAAATTGCTTATGTTGTTCGTATTTCTGTGGCGCGTACAAAGCTGACATCATGCCTTTTGAATCCATCGGAGTTCAAATCAATTAAGTTTCAGATTTCCCGGGGACTCACCCTGAATGAATCCAAGTGCTCCGCAACAGCCATAAGTGACACCACAGAGATATCCAAACAAGAATGTCAGTTTCTGTCAGCAATTAGTCAAAATCAAAACAAATTTGCAAAATGCCAAAAGTTAATTAGTTTGAGATGTGGCTGCGGGAATGTGCCAAAAATGATTACAAAAAATAAAATAGACACATCGGGGTCACATACTGTAGCTGAAGGAATGGGTAATGTCAAAAATCTACAACGTCTCCTTGTTCCATCCAAATGGCACTCCACAAAACACAAGCATGGAGACAGAACACTCCGCCTATAATGTGTATGGCACAGTATACAGTGTATGGTAAGCCATCAACCTCACATCTTCAGGTGCATGAAATGGAGGTTTTCAATCTGAGAAGTCCAAGTAACCTGTTGAATGTATCTGCAGTAAAACTGAAGGAAGGGGGGAGGATAGAAATGGAAACTGCTTTACATGGTAATGACATTTTTTACCCCCAAGAGCCATTGCCATTGGTTTCGATCATGCCGACTGTTTTTCAATCCAAGTGTGTTTTTTTCATTGGAAACATGAAATTCATTAAAAGTGATGCTGCATTCGACTCGGTTTCCATAGAGGCGGCAGGGGTTAAGGACTTGGGATGTTGGGGGGGGGGGGGGGGGGGGGGGGGGGGGGGGGTAGTGGGCGGGGTGGGGGCCAATGGCAATGCCGCTTTGTTTTTGGG